ATGGGCAAAGAGTGACAGTTACAGAAAACATGTGCTTTGCATTCACTGACTCAACCGCGATGGCAGTCCTAAAAAATAAGGACTCATGTTACCTCCGTTTCACAGATGAGTCAATGGGGGCGCTCAGAGGCTACCTAACTTGCCCAGAAGGTTAGGACTTGAACAGAAAGGACCTGAACCCGGGGCATCTAGCCCCGAAGCCCAGGCTCTGACTTCCTTTCACTGAGACAGATCGTGGGCTGCCAGAGGACTGCCTTCCTGAGGCAGCCTAGGCAGATGAGGAGCTAGCAGATGAAGAAGCTACCAGCCAGACACTGTAAATGTGGATTAAGTGTCTCCTTAGATGAGCAGCAACAGAAGCCAAGTTTCAGCAAGTTTTATCTTCTCAGGGCAAGGCTGTTCTAGTCCGATCACGTCCCTCTCTCCCTGGGGATATGCCACATATTGACCGCACACCTCCTCTGCACTGTACTAAGTGATGCATGTGAACTCCCTCTTCTACACCCCACATCCCTATGAGGTACTCACTGTTTTTAAAAATTCAGTTTTGTCCTGACATGTGGTTCAGTGGGTTGGGTGCGATCCTGCGAACAGAAAGGCCGCTGGTTCAATTCTCCATCATGGCACATATCTGGGTTGTGGCCAGCCCTCCGATTGGGGTGTGTGATTGATGTGTCTGTTCCACATTGATGTTTCTTTCCTTCTCTTTCTCCCTCCCTTCCCCTTGCTCTAAAAAAATAAATTAAAAAATCTAAAAAAAAATCAGGATCTCTTGACTGTAATAGTTATGATCCAAGAACATTTTTTAATTCAGTTTTTATTTTATCAAACTAATTTCTTGCATGGAGTTTGGAATCAAGCCTTGTGGAAGCAAAATTTATTATAAAAAACAGTGTATCTCCTCTGCCTTACTCCATTCGCATTTCCACAGACCCAACCCCTTTGAAATATTATAGCTGTTTCTTTCATTTTAAAAACTTGCTTAAAGTGCTTTTTGATTTTTCAGTGTTAGGTTTGTACTGGGTTACTTTGGTTTCACTTTCCTTACTAACATTTCCATATTTTATTTTGAATTAGAACCTATGAAACTTCAAAGTATACATATGCTGTTTTTAATAGAAGTTTTGTAAGATTCATTTAGTGATTAAATGCTGAGATTTCTATTATATTAAGTTTTCTCTTAACAAAATTAAAAAAAGGCAATCCTGGCATTGGGAGCCTCAATTCTGGTTTATTTTATTTTTAAAAATATCACAAGTCCTTAGTCTTTTATGCTGTGGTTTATTTGTTGCCAGTTTTCAAATTTTGAAGGCTTTGTTTCAACAGCACTCCTATGCTTTGATCACAAATACAGTACACAATGAGGAAAATTCAGTCACTCCTAATATCAGTCTAATAACTAGGCTTGCAAACCTGCTACATAAAAATGGTCAAGTACTACCTCCCCCCCACTGTAGGATTATGTAGTTTGGGATCATCCCTGCTACTCTCATTTAGATTACCTAATCCTCATTAGTTGTTTATTGCTACATTACCTCAAATTTTAGCAACATTATTTCTGAGGGTCGGAACCCACGAGTACATTAATTGGATGATTTTGGTTCAGGGTCTCTCATGAAGTTGCAGTCAAGGGAGCCAGGCTGGGGCTGCATTCTCTGAAGACTAGACTGGGGCTGGAAACTTCAGTTCCTTAACACATGGACCTCTCCGTAGAGATGCTCTTCACATGGGATTCCTCAAAGTAAATGATGAGGAGGAGGGAGAGAGGAATCTTGTATCTTGAAACTTTGCTTAACTCATTTATTTGCTCTAGTTTTTTTGATGGATTCTTTGGGATTATCTATATACAGAATCATGTCACCTGCAAATACTTCTTCCTTTCCAACTTGGATGTCTTTCTTTTCTTGCTCAGTTGCTCTGTCTAGGATTTCTAGTATTATGCTGAATAGCAGTAGTAAAAGTGAATCTGTTTTTTTCCTGATTTTAAGGAGATGGCTTTTAGTTTTTCACCTTTCAGTGTGATATTGGTTATGGGTTTCCTAGATGCCCTTTATTATGTTAAGGAAGTTTCTATTCTGAGTATTTCTGTCATGAAAGAGTATTGCATTTTGTCAATGCCTTTCCTGCACCCATTGAGAGGTTTATGTGGTTTTGTTTTATTGGTGTGGTGTAATACACTGATTAATTTCCTTATGTCAAACTACTCTTCTATTTCTGGAATAAACCCCACCTGGTCATAATGTGTAATCTTTTAAATGTGCTGTTTGACTCAGTTTGCTAGTATCTTGTCGAGGATTTTTGGTCTGTAGTTTTTTTCCTCCTTGTGGTATCTTTCTCTGCAGCTCACTTAATTTTATATACATAGTTAAGATGAAGAATAAACCAATCCTGTAATTCTGAGCTTATAATAGTAGTGCCAGACCAAAAAACACTGTTAAAAGAAAAAAATTTTAAAGATTTTATTTTTAGAGAGAGGGGAGGGAGGAAGAGAAGGACAGAAACATCAACTGGTTGCCTCTTGCAAACCGGGAATTGAACTAGAGACCTTTCAGTTCATAGGCCAACGTTTAATCTACTGAGCTACACCAGCCAGGACACAAATTTCCAACCTCTCTGAGACATAAAATCCATGATTGACATTTGGTGATTTAAATTTGAAAGAAACTGCCTTATTATCTCTATCACAGAGAATGTTGTATACGTGGTACTGAAAAATATATATTTGGCTAGGGTTCCATGGTGGCTGTTTATTAGGCAGAACAGTAATTTGGCTGCTGGCATAGAGAAAAGGCTAGGATCCCAAGAAGGTGATGGGGTGGGAAACGAGGGACACAAGCTTCCTTAACACAAAACAAAAAGGTTTTCTCGACTTCCTTTTGTTTCATTCTTGCTTTCCCATTAGAGAAAGAAGATATTTTTCATTTTTTTATTCCTCCAACAATGTATTTCTGCACATGACTATCTTCTATTGTGCTTCTTAGAAATTAAGAAACCTGTGGTTAAGACAAAAACTCACTGCCTAGTTTGTACTGATAGTTCAAAGATAGCTGGACACTGGACAACATCAATTTCCAATCTTTTCTTTAAAAAATATTTTATTTTTTATAGGGGAAGGAAGGGAGTGAGAAAGAGAAGGAGAAATCTGTTGCCTCTTGTACATGCCCTGTCCGGGGACTGAACCCACAGTCCACATACCCTGACTGGCAATTGAACTGGTGACCTTTTTGCTTTGTGGGACAAGGCCCAACCAACTGAACTGCACTGGTCAGTGCGATTCCTAACCTTCACTCTAAATGTTACTTACCGCTCTGTTAGAAAGGAGATAGTGGGCAATGAGGAACAGCTCCATGGTTTATGGAGGAAACTTGTGATAGAGAGGAGCTGGCAACAATTCTGATTCCACCTCCCTCCTTCCTGACTCTTTAGCCACCTTTTGCCAAATGTACTTTATCAAAATACAACCCCGTGAAGGCAAGAATGCCAGGGTTTGATGAAGCTTGAGAAAAGTCTGCTGCAGAGCAGAGAAACCATTCTGAGCTTACTAAGAACTCCTGCTCTCCTTTCAGCTGGGCTTGTGCAGTCTCATTCATATGATGCAATGTACCCTGGACGTGGTCAAACCAGTGTGAGAATTAAAACTAAAAATGGGTAGCAAAGGGAGCTGTGAGCGCACCTAGTAGAAAGAAAAACTGGTCATCTGGCACTCCTTCAGTTAGGTTCTTTCGCCTTGAATGTAGGTCTGATGTGCTTTAGCAGTTTTGAAAACCTGTTCAGATTCACTAAATGATTAAAGTACCTTCAATGTCTAAATTCCTACTTGTCAGGTGAAATGAGACAGCAGTGCTGGGCTCACTGCTTAGGCTCCACATGTCCACGAAAAGCAAGTTGTTAGAGCCGTCATAAGAGCCCACTGTCTCTGTAATTTCAGGATTAAATAGAAGGAAGACAGGGAAGAAAGGGTGGCTGTTGCTAGCCATGTAAACTGCAAAGCTGTCAGCCCAGGCAGCTCCGTGCCCCCCCCCCCCAGCTTTATCAGGATTTCCAGGAAGAGGAAATGGACAAACTCACCTCTGTACTGACCTGTCTGCTGTGGTCTTTCTTTTTCTTTTCCTTCTTTTTCATAAGAGAACGTTTATTTAGAAAGGTGCAGAGGTAGAAGAAGTGAGCCACAGAAAACATGGGTTCAGGAAACAAGTTACAGCAAAAGAAGGGCCCATGGAGCTTAGGAGAAAGATAGACAAGCACCTTATAAAATGAAAAAGGAAGGAGAGGTTAGGGTGTATTGGGGTTGGGGAAGAGAAAGAAAGGGAGGGAGAGAAAGAGAGAAGGAGAGAAACACCAATTGGTTGCCTCTGGTATGCAGTCAACTAGGGATTGAACCTGAAACGTAGGTATGTGCTCTGACTGGGAATTGAACCCACAACCTTTTAGTACATGGGATTGTTCCAACCAACTGAGCCACCCAGCCAGGGCTCTTCCCCAAATTCTTATGTTGAAACTCTAATGTCTAATGTGATGGTACTAATAGGTGGGGCCTTTGGGAGATGCTTAAGTAATGAGGATGGAGCCCTCATGAACGGGATTAGTGCCTTTATAAAAGAGGACCCAGAGAGATCCCTAGGCCCTTCCCCCATATGAGGAACAGTGAGAAGGCATCCACTATGAACCTGAAAGCAAGTCTTCACCAAGGTGACCATAATGGGGTTTTGATCTTGGACTTTCCAGAACCATGAGCAATAAATTTCTGTTGTTTATTAACTACTCAGTCTGTGGTATTTTGTTTTGGCAGCTTGAATAGATTATGACATGTAGGAAACAAATCCAGGCTCCTTCCAGTGATGGTAAATTAAGCTGTTGGTTAAGACACAACTGCCCATGCTAAAGATGGCACAGTGGTTTAACCCCTAGAATCCAAGAGAACTGAATTGAGGTACCTATTTCCACAAGAAATAGTAGTGTTTCCTACTGTAGTCAAAAAGGTTTGTTAAGAAACAACAAAGTTAGCTTTGTAATTTATTGATCATGAATGTACACATGTACATATTGCACATACATGCATATATGCACGCACATATTTGTTCCTTCTTTTGTTTTTCTGGCATGTACAAGTTTGCAGATATCACCCAAGGGAGAGCCATTCAAATGTCAGGAAAACCACTTATTCTAAGAACACATAAAAAACTGCTGATACTCTCACAGGAAGTGTTTTTATGTTAAAAAGTTTACAAGGTAGAAATAGAGTTCCTGGAGTTGTATTTGAAGACTGTTCTGGAAGACAGTGTTAGTAGGCTTCACACTATGGGGTGCTCAGCAGCGGGTGAGCAGAGCAGGACTGGGGCCACGTTTTCTTCTGGAGAAGGAGAGCCTTATGAAGGTAGAATAAAACTTATCAGAAACTCTTTCCACATCAAGCATTTTTTTCAGGATCCAGTTGTATAAGTAAGCCTAAACAAACAAACAAACAAACAAACAAACAAACCCCTTGAAGATAAGTCAACTGACTTCAACCTGATGGGACTTCTCTAAATAGAAATATATGTATTCAAAGAAAGGCATTTAGATTCATATTTAGATTCATTTTTTCAGCCAAACTGAGAATCAACTTTTGACTATCTCAATACTGTAATATTGTCCCTAGGTAACCAGATCCTCTACTTGGTCATTTTATGGTTCATTGTCACTTCCATTAAGGACAGTCAGGGAAGTGTAAGTAAGTAAAATTACAACCCAGCCATCTGGTACCCCTTACGATACTGAAAGGTTTGGTAAGATAGGAAGTATAAACCACAGCCTGAGATGAAGTTTTTAAATTTATGTATTCAAATTATTCATAATCTTCTTCCTGCTTCTCTCCTCTATTATTCCAGCAAACAAGTGATGCTTAGGGCAAAAAACAAATTTCTTTTTTTAAAAAATATTTTATTTATTTACCTTTAGAGGGGAAGGGGAGGAGAGAAGGAGAGAATATCAGTGTGTGGTTGCCTCTCGTGGGTTCCCTGCTGGGAACTGGCCTGCAGCCCAGGCATGTGCCCTGACTGGGAATCGGACCGCAATCCTCTGGTTTGCAGGCCTGCGCTCAACCCACTGAGCTACACCAGCCAGGGCAAAAAAAATAAATGTCTTAACACACAAAAAGCATTAACCATAAAGGAAAAGAATTTATGTGACTACATTAACATTAAAAACTTTTGTTCATAAAAAAGATAGTTCTTAAAGAAAATAAAAGATAATTTATAAACTGAAAGAAGATATGTACAGTTTAGGTATCCAATTAAAAATATTAGCTTAATATAAAATAATTATAAATAATTATAAACCAACCTACCAGTTCCCTTACCAAGGGCGGCCAATATTAATGTGTGTGACTTCCCTAAAATAGTTTATGCAATACAAATATATATAGATATGTTCACTTCCCTCCCACTTCTTTATTTTTCATTTTGAAATAATTTCAAGCTTATGAAAAACCTGTGAGACTACTACAAAGAACTATTTTCTCCTAAACCATTGGAGAATAATTTGCCAAAATTTGTACAAAATGACTATATAAAGTTACTCAACACAACATTACTTGCAAAAGCAAAAGAGTGGAAAAACACACATGTCCAACACCTCCAATTCCAACCCACACCATGGGGTTCATTTGCATTTGCTCTCTTTCCACACCTGGGACTCACTTCTCTGACAGGGAGAAACCTGGCTCTCGTGACTGCCAGCCCACACTGACGCCACCCTCTCTCTGTGGGTTCTACACCCATGCTGCTGTCTGTGGAGAAGCCTTGCTTAGCCTACTGGGGCTCTGACACCCTGTGCTGGGTCATGCACCCATGCGGACACCCGCCGTGCTCCACTCAGGCTCCAACAGGGTGCTGGGCCACAGCAGCCACCTCTCCCTTTGGCCTCCCCTTCGCCCTGAGGCTACCATGCCTGACTACATAAATTACTCAGGAAGAAACCGGTGGAAGGGAAAGAAGAAGAAAAGGGGAAGGGAATGAGAAGAACCTCTTTTACTTTTTCTACATTAATGATAACATCTGCATATTGTATTTTTCATTCAACATATAGGGTCCAACAGAAGTAATGCCTGCTTGAGTGTGGGTAGGGTAATAATATGGGTGTAATGTTTTATTGTTTTTTTAAAGATTTTATTTATCTTTAGAGGGGAAGGGGGGAAGGAGAGAGGGAGAGAAACATCGATGTATGGTTGCCTTTTGTGCGCCCCCTGCTGGGAACTGGCCTACAGGGAACTGGCCTGCAACCCAGGCATGTGCCCTGACTGGGAATCAAACCGCAATCCTGTGTTTTATAGTTTTAATTTGAACATTTCACCTAAAGTGTCATAGGGTGTGCTTGAGTGTGACGTTGTTATGTTACAGAATTACATACTTATGATTTTGTAATAAAAGGGGGCATTATTTGTGCTGGACCCTGTATATCAGTGAGGGCTCCATGTTATGTATGAAGAGTTTCCTTACTCTTCTTTAGGAATGGCACCACAACATTCGGAATGGCACCACAACACTCCGCAGTACTCTTAATGGCACACATTATACAGTCTGCAAATAAACTGTAGTCTTTTTAACCTGTCTCCTATCCGTGGATATCTGGGTCTTGCCAACCTTTCGTTATTGCACATAGTGTTACCTGAGTGACACACTCACTGGGACCCCGGAACAGCCACGTGCACCAGGATTTTGCACCTGTTATTACACTGGGGGGATGAAGTCCTGGAAGCGGGCCAAAGGGTACGTGTTTTGGTGATTTTGATCAATAACATCAAATACCTCCCTACCAGCATGTATAAGGAATATCTTTATTCTTAACTTATTCTTTGAATGCCAGGGAATCAAACATTTCTGGGCATATGTGACTTATAAAACCAAAGCAAAACAGACAAACAAACAAACAAAAACACCACCACCACCACAAAACCCAGAAAAACACAAACAATTTAATAAAATCCAAACAAATACCCCAAAGCAGAAACCCCCCCCAAAACAAACAAATAAACGAAATGACCCAAACCAAACTAAACCAAAATAAAAAAAGTGGCAGCTTCCTACCTGTTGCCTCCGAGTACAGGATATTCTCATCAACACTCCGAACATCACAGGAAATAAACACTTTCCTTCCTTCAATCTTATCAAGTTGGCTATTGATCACAACAACAGAACCAAGGGGGACAGGTCTGCAGAAGAAAAAACAAGGGAAAAAAATCAGTTCTTATCAGATTTATGTAACATTGAGACATGATCAAGTGCATGACAAGGGGTGGCAACTTATAATACTTAGGTTCAGAAAGAGCTGACTGTTCTCAATGAAATATTCCTTTAAAAAGCGGACCCCAGCAGCCACTCACATCCTTTTCCTCCCAAGCACCACTGCTCTGAGGTGGCTCCAGGGTGTCCGGTCCCTGACTGCTCTGCTGGGTTAGGTTCAGAGGACCCCCAGGGATTAATGCTTTGGGATGGCACAGGCCGTCCCAGCAGCCGATCCTGAGCAGTCTGAAGGCAGCTGAAATCCCTTAAAGAAATGAAAAGAGGACATGGCAGCTTCTTTCATTTTCCTTGTCATTATTGAAATTTCTCACCCAATCCCTTTAGAGTAACTTTCTCTAGAAAGGCACTTAATAACAACAAATTGCTGGTAACAGCTCAATGTGCTAATAAGCCTGTGCTGTCCAACAGAACTTTATGTGATGACAGAAATGTTACATATCTCAGCTGTCCAATATGGGAGCCACAGGTGACTGAGCATTCAAAGTGTGGCTATTGTGAATAAAAACCCGAATCTTTAAATTTATTTAATTTTAATTTATATTTAAATTAAAATAGCAACATGTGACTGGTGGTTACAGTCACCTTTGTGAATCCTGGAGGACACTACTATAAAGAAAAAGACCTTCCTGCCCTGGTCGGGTAGCTCAGTTGATTGATTAGAACGTTGTATACCAAGGTTGTGGGTTTGGTCCCCGGTCAGGGTGCATATAAGTATCAACCAATAAATACATAAATAAGTGAAACAACACATCGGTTTTTCTCTCTCACTTTCTTAAATCAATAAATTAAAAAAATATTCCTTTAAAGGTGAAATTATAGCTGGCAGAACAACATAGAACAGAGAGATGTGTCTTGTGCTCCTACAGTACCACCATGTGGATGAAGGAGCTACCCCAGGTGGAAAGGAAGTTATCACTGTGATTAACTTTTGCTTACTTTCCCCTCCCATTTGCTTTTCCGGAACCTCCTGACAGAACAACCCAGCTTTAGAAAATATTTCTTAGGCCAGTTCAAGATTTGCTAAGACCCAAGGGACATTAGGTGTTCTCGCCTGCCCAAATCCCCCTTTTCTACTAACATTGCTCCCTTCCTTTTTCCATGTCTTACCCTTTACCTCCTTCTGTCAATCACACACACTGACAGTGTCCCTTCTATGGGGAATCACCCCCATTCTTAACTCACGGAGACTGACTAGAGTTGACGGCTGACTCCCATCACCTCAGTACACAGCGAATGGTTGTGGGCGCTGGGCACAGGCCCAAATGGTCAGTCCTGGAACTCGAACTGGAGCCCTTGTGACTGGGTTCTTCATCTGCTGAGGCTTGTATGACACAAGCCTGCCTGGTGGCCATTGTGGCACTACATTAGGAAGGGTGCTTGAGGATAAAGCAGACCCAGAGGAAAGCGTGGCTGAGACACTAATGGCATCAATGAACACCTGCAGCCAGCCACACCTGTCTTCTCAGTCACACAGGCCAACAGGTTCCCTTCTTTCCTTAAGCTAGTGTGAGTTAAGAGTTATATCTCTTGTATCAGAAAGAGTCCTTAATTAATGAGAGGCTAAGAGAAAGGATCTCAGAAAATACAAAACAATATAACCACTATATTTATAAAGTATAATTTTGTAAATGAAAGTAATATTTAGGCACAGATTAGGTTGGTTGGCATAGGAAAGAGGCTTCAAATAATTTTCCTTAATTTAATTTTGCTACATAACTTACTAAGACAGTATTAGAGGCAGAAAAGAGATGAGAGATAAAAAGCAAAATTTAAAAATAAAAGAGAAAATACATATATATACAATAGAGAGTCTTAATAAATCCAAAGATGGCTTTTTGAAGGACTAATAATCTCTTTCAAGATAGATCAAGACAAACAAGAGCATAAATAAATACCATTAAGACCAAATAACTTCATGTCAATAAATTTCAGATGAACTATATTCTGATATATTTATTATGATATATATTCTGATATATTTCTATCATATATCAGAAATATATGATATCAAGATTGAAAAAAGATGAGGAAGCCTGAATAGTTGAATAAAGAAGATATTGAGGCCCTAATAGGGAAAGATCCCTAGTCTCTGAATCATCCCGGGGGAAGTCTCTCACTGACCAGAATACCACCCAAGACTAATTATAAACAAAAAGAGTCTACTGACTTAAGTAAGTAAAATTTTGGGACTATAATAGTAGCTAGTGTTTCCCTAACTGATTTACTATAGGTTTTTAAACAAATTCCCTTATTTTTGACTTCTAATTTAATGTGGCCATAGAACTTAGTTGTAAGATTCTGATTCTTCAAAATTTATTGAGATTTGATTTATGGACCACTATATGATCAATTTTTATAAACGCTCATGTGTGCTTGGAAAGAGAGTATATTCTCCAATTACTGGGTATAGGGTTCTATATCTGTCCAATAAATTATACTTGTTATCTCATGGTGTTTAAATTTTCTCTTTTCTAATTTTTTTGGTCTGTTTCTCTATCATTAACTGAGAACAGTGCGTTGAAATCTTCCACTATGAAAGTGAATTAGTCAGTCAGTTTCTCCCTGAATTCTACTAGTTTTATTTATATACTTTGAAGTTATTTTGCTAGTACATACTGATTCAGAATTGTTACTATCTGCTACTGAACTGAATCTTTTATTATGTAGTCGTCTCTATCCCTAATATAACTTTATAAACAATTAATTATATTTTTTCTGATATTCTAACCCTCTTCTTGTTCACTTTTTTCTTTCATATTTTTCTTTCCTTTTGTCTCATATAAACAGTTTATAGCTTTTCACATTTTATAATCTCCTTTTTAAAAATAAATTTTATAATCTCTTCCTTTGAAATAAGTTTGGTTCACTTATTATATTTAATGCAATTACTGATTTATTTAGACATTTCTTTTTTAAAAAGATTTTATTTATTTATCTTTAGAGGAGAAGGGAAGGAGAGAGGGAGAGACATATCAATGTATGGTTGCCTCTCGTGCTTCCCCTGCTGGGAACTGGCCCTCAACCCAGGCATGCACCCTGACTGGGAATCGAACTGCAATCCTTTGGTTTGCAGGCCCGCACTCAATCCACTGAGCTACACCAGCTAGGGCTATTTAGACATTTCTTTTATTGGCATTCCATTTGACTCACTTTTTTCCTCTTTCTTGCAATTTTAAAAATGAAAATTAATTTTATTTACCTTGTTTTTACTTTTCTACTAGTTTAGGCTTTAGTTATACATTCGTTCCTCTCTACTGAAAAATACAGAGATGTTGAACATTAATTATGTTTACCCTCTCTCAAACTACATGCTATTTTTGTTCAGTATTTTAGCTGTCCTTTTTTTTACTTCCAAGAATTTAGACATTATTGTTACTTATATATAGACTGTTTAGAGTTATATTATCTACATGTTTACTTATGTATTTGCTCACTATTCTGTCTTTTCATCCTTCTGCCTGGTGGGATTACTTTCCTTCTTTTTGTGGAACATTCGTTAGAAGATCCCTAGGTATCATCCTGTTGTTTGTAAACTTTCTCCATTTTGTTGAAACAAAAATGCCTTTATTTTGCCCTAATTTTTAAACTTTAGTTTTTCTGAAAGCATGATTCTGAGGCAGGATAATAAGAAGCTGGGCAAATTTCTGGGTAAGTGGGATGGGGAAACTGAGACAAGATCATTAAACAAGGCCAAACAATTTGAACAACTCACAGTCAACTAGTGAGTCATGAGACCTTACTTTCCCTAACCAAGGACACCTGAGAGCAAATGGTTTATACCTCTCCTCCCTAACCAGAGAATAAATAGCTTAAATCATCCTGTTTGGGGAGATAGAGAACAGAGACTCAGTTAATGCCATTTATGCTAGCCAAACCCAAGGACTAACAAAGGGGAACAAAAAACAAAAAGCCAATTAGAGCTGGAATGATCCAACATAAAAGTGAAACAGTAAAGAAGACTAACGACTAATCCCAAACTTCCCTATCTGTTAATTTATTATGCACTAGCATACTAAAAACACACCTGGCCCTGGCCAGTGTGGCTCAGTTGGTTGGAGCAGCATCCTATAACCAAAAGTTTGCTGGTTTGATTCCTGGTCAGGGGGTGTATGATCCCCAGTGAAGATGCATAAGGGACGCAACCAATCAATGTTTCTCTCTCTCTAAAAGCAATGAAAAAATGTCCTTGGGTAAGGATAAACAAAACAAAACAAAAAACAGCCCCTGGAAAGCTGATGAATATTCTGCCGAAACCCTCCCCTATGAAGAGAGATAAAACCCTGAGGACAGAATACCAGCATAGGCTCACTCTTGAGCATAGCCTTGCCCCTTCTCGGGCATGAACTTTTTACTTCCTCTTAACCTCTATGGGTCCCCATGAGACTTGCAGCCAGGGGAGCAGCAGGCAGTGGCAGCTTGTCCCAGGCTTACCCCCTGATCCTGTCTGCAAGGCTCCCCTTTCCTATGACTTTCCAGTGAGCTAGAAGCAGCCCCACCTTGGATCACTTCTTTCATATGACATTTGTAGGGAGCCAAAGCAGAGCACAACCTGAGCTTTCCCCTGTTGCTTCTTCTATCCTAAATCCTTCCTTTGTTTGACTGTCCCCAGCTTTAATAAGCACATTCTCAAAATCACTTGGACTTGTATTGTGAAATCTTTCCTGCATGAAGTCAAGAGCCCATACACTACAGGCCAGCTTGAGGCAGACCTGATCCAGGCCAGGCTCCTGTCCGGTGACAATTACAGGGTGCGCGTTTCTTTCAGGACTCTTAAGATATGTAATTATCTTCTGGTTTCCATTACTGCTACTGAGAAGCTAGCTGCCAGTGGGACAGTGCCCTCCTACTTCTAAGAAACAAGACTGCTCTGTTATGAGTACTGTTAGATCGCTGACTGTTTTTAAGATCTCTTTGCCTTCAGTATTCTTTAATTTCTTTGTAATATATCTAGATATGAATTTATTTTGATTTATCTTGGTTTGATTATGTTGTGCTTTCTATAGCTGTGGACTCATGTTTTTCTTTAGTTCAAGAATATATTCACCTGTTCTCTCTCCAAATCCTGGATATTCCTTCCATGCTCTCCACTCTCTTCTTCCAGAACTCTGAATAGAGCACATTTGAACTTTTCATTTGTCCTCTGGACCTTAACCTCTATTTTATATTTTTCACCTCTTTTCTTATTTTATGCTAGATTCAGGGTAATTTCTTCAGTTCTCTATTTCTGTTCACTTTCAGCAGTGTTTAAAGCCTTTTAACCTATCCACTGAGGGGTGCTTGTCTTTACACAATTACATTTTCATTTCTAAAAGTTTTAGGTTCTGTGGCCAATCTGCTTAGTAATTTTTGATAGCTCCTTAATGCTTTCTCTTTTTGTGATTTCATCTTTTCTTTTATATTGTGTATCTGATTATCATAATATATAAGTCCCTGATGATCAGTTATTCATGGTTTCTGCTGATTCTCACTTATTGCGGTTTATTTCCTTGTGAATTTGACACAGGGTCTAGTTGTTATGAAAGGGAATGTCCTTTGGAATTTCTTTTCTGCCATGTTGCATGAAGAAGTCTATTCCAGAGCTTCCCAACCAATATGTCATGAATGGGTTATAGAAATGCTGACATATTATTTTTCATCTGGCTAGCTACCACTAATAATTAGCTGCTTTGTCTATTTATCCTAATGTGCCAAGCACAAGGAAATAAGTCAGCATACTAAAAGCCCATAGCTAACATCACCACACTCAATGGGGGAAGACTGAAAGCTTTTCCGCTAAGATGAAGAATATGGCAAGTGTGCCCACTTTTGCTTCTTCTATTTAACTTATTACCATAAGTCTTAGCCAGAGTAATTAGGCAAGAAAAAAGAAAGGCATCTAAACTGAAGAAGAAGTACATTATTTCTGTTCACAGATAACATGATTTTATATGTAGAAAACCCCAAAGCGTCCACAAAAAAACTGTTAGAACTAGTAAATGAATTCAGCAAAGTTGCAGGATATATCAACACACAAAAACCAGTTGCATTTCTATACACTAACAACAAACAATCTGAAAAGGAAATTGAAAAAATGATTTCATTTACAATAGCTCAAAACTTACACAGGAATAAACAACCAAGAAGGCCCAAAACTTGTACACTGAATATCACAAAACATTGCTAAAAAAAATTAAAAAGATACAAGTCAGTGGAAAGACATCCTGCGTATATGAACTAAAAGTTAATACTGTTAAGATGTCAATATTAACCAAAGTGATCTATAGCAGTCAGGTCATCCTGCCTATCATGAGAACACACAAAATGATTTTTCTGATCATTAGCATTAGTCTCCATTAATAGGAATCAGGGATGTTTGTAGCTATTCCTTGCCCTGGCTTATATGTGCCTTATTGTTGCTAGAAGTAAAAGTAATGATAATAACAATAGTAGCAAGCTGCTAACAGTATTTAACATGAGTTACTGAGTATTTGTTATGTGGCCAGATATTGTTCTAGGTGTTTACATGGACTGATTCATTTACTACTCACCATGAGAAGTGATGAGAAATTTATGGTCCCCAGGATAGGATTTTCCTATGACTTATCCTATCTCTGGTATGTAAGAAACATGAAGTCTCTTTCCAGTTCCCTTGCCTGACATAGGGGCAATTCTGAGGCACACATTTCACTCCAGAGTTCCATGTATGATCAGGCTGAAGCTCCCCTTTGCACGACTGTGAGAGCTCCCGTCCTGCTTGGTTGGCTTCTTCCCCTTTCCTGTCCTGCTTCTCCCACTGCCCTGCTAGTTTCCTCCGGGAGCACTTCCTTAATAATTACTTGTACACAAATCTTTGTCTCAGGGTCTGTTGCTGGGGAACCTGACCTGTGACACCTGAGAGAGAATACTCATGAATTTACCTTTTCTTTATTTTTTTCATGAATTTACCTTTTAAAATTGATGTTGAGATTGGCAGTCATGACAAATCCTTTGGCTCTCATTGCAGATATACCAACAGTAGCATCAATCATGGTTGCAAGAGCACCTCCATGAAGGAATCTAGTTACAACAGGAGGGAAAGAAATGTTGTTAAATAGTGTGAAAAGAGAGAAACATTATCCAAGCATCTCCATATATTGTAATTTGCTTATGTCTATGATCAGTGTACTAAATGTCAAATATCCATGTCCCCAACTTCAATAGTGTAGTATTTGTAATAAAACAGAATTTAATGGTAGTCAGATCACAAACAAGCAAAAAGCTAAAATACCATTTAGAAAATTTATATTTTTGGTAAACTAGCTATATACATCATTGTTTAAAGATTTAGGAAATGTAAATAAACAGAAGGAAAAGAAAAATAAAAAATTATAAGGTCATCTAGTGACAAACCACTGTCAACATGTCAAAGATACTGTCTCAAACTGGACTCTACTGCATTATGTCCTATGCTTCTGTGACCATAATTTATTATAAATACCTTTCCAGGTGGATAAATACATCTACATTAACATTTTAATGCCTTCATTCTATGAATACTTGGGGATACAGCAAGATAACAATCTTTTAGACCCACAGGTCCAGGCTATCATTCTTACCCGAACATTCCTTGCAGGTGAGGGCCTCCTTCAAACAAGCAAACTGTCCTTTTCTCAACATCATTATAGAACATCACATGTTCAAAGCCCAGGACATCCTTAAGGCTTTCGGTGAAGACAGGGGCCTGTGACAGTTGTTCTTTGTCTATAAGTTTTGCAGTTGTAGGGAAACAAGCTGGGTGGTCACATGAGAAACAGATATGAGAAAGATGTAACAGAGCTATAAACATCTGTGCCCTGCTAGAATAACAGGTCAATAAATGACCGATTACAATGTTAACTAAAGGCAGCACTGACTGGTATGGCTTAGTTGATTGGACACTGTCCCACAAAGCGAAAGGGTGCTGGTTCGATTCCTGGTGAGGGAGCATTACTTGGGTTGTGGATTTGGTCTTTGGTTGGGGTGTGTAGAAGGCAATCAACTGATGTTTCTCACACTGATGTTTCTCTCCCTTTCTCCCTTCCTCCCTCTCTAAAAATAAATAAATAAAATCTTTAAAAAAAACTGAAGAGAATGGGAGGGTATCAAAGAAACAGAATATAAGATCTTTGCCCTTATGGAATTAACAGCCTAACTGGGGACATAGTAAATGTAAGTGAAAGAATAACAAAGAACTTTCTCATACATGGCAAACATGTATGTTTCTCATACATGGCAAACATTTATGGTACATAAATGCTGAGGATATACTGAATAAAATACTAAGGTGTACACAGAAGTCCTTCTTGGAATAAATGTGGTTTAAATGAGATTTAAAGCCCTGGCTGGTGTGGCTCAGTGGACTGAGCACTGGACGAGGTCGCTGGTTTGATTCCCCGTCAGGGCACACACCTGGGTTGTAGGCTGGGTCCCCAGTGGGGGGTGTGCGAGAGGCAACCACACATTGGTGTTTCTCTCTTTCTTCCTCCCTTCTCCTCTAAAAATAAAGAAATATGCCCTGGCTGGTGTAGCTCAGTGGATTGAGTGTGGGCCTGTGAACCAAATGACTGCAATTCGATTCCCAGTCAGGGCACATGTGTAGGTTGCAGGCCAGTTCCCAGCAGGGGACGTACGAGAGGCAACCATACATTGATATTTTTCTCCCTCTTTCCTTCCCTTCCCCTCTAAAGATAAATAGATAAATAAATAAATCTTTAAGAAATAAATAAAATATTTTTTAAATAAATGAGATTTATTTAAAGAAAATGAATAATGTAACAGGAGGTTTTCTTGCAGAAGTGAGTTTAGCCTGAGCAGAAGAGAGTTATCATAGGGGATCAGAAACCAGTTTAGTCCAGCCTACTATTCCATGTGATTATGACTCTTGACTCTTAAGTTCCCAGACTTAGGGTTAGAACCATTAGGGTTCATCAAATCAAATTGAGTTATAATCAAGCTTTAAAAAGAAGCAGAATGCTTCACATATATCCTGGGGAAGTAGTAGTACAATTTTTCAATTGGACAACTGTGTACAAGTTGTATATATTAGGTTGTCAGTCAAAATGCAGGTCACTTCAAAAGAAAGACTGAAAACTACTGCTCTAAACAAAGGGCATATTTGTCCTTTCATATCTACTTCAAGATTTAACTCCCAAAACTCTTAGCTTTCTTTCACAGGTCATTATGATTTGCTATGTATAACATTATCTAAGTTTCTTTTATTACTACTGAATTAATGTTTACTGACTTGGAAAAAGATATGAGAAGATCTGGGAGAAGTGGGAAGAAGGTCAGGAAGGGTGACTTTTACTTAGGCCATGAGCATCCTAAGGGTTGGGCATCCTGTCTTTTAGAATTTGTATGCTCAACAACTGGAATAAATATGTACTCTATATTCTCTAGCAGCTGTTGAGAAGATTAATGATTTAGAGGTTCAATGAAACTTAAAACTGAGCACCAATATCATGGTATAGTAAAAAAGAACCTTCTCCTGGGAATTGGACCCACAACTCACTCCTTTCCTCATACTTTATCCACACAGTGAGGAGATAAACCTAAATGACTTCTAAGATCTGACATAATGAAATTTCAGGGTAAGATAAGCACTGAACCTTTTAATTTTTACTTAGGAGTCCAAAACTTCTGGTCTAGATTCGAACCTTGGGGTTATCTCATAAAAATGAGAAAAATAAAGATGATGGAATAAGTTTGTTAGAAATGCAGAATCTTAGGTGCGACCCCTGACCTACTAAAGCATGACCTGAATTTTAACAAGGTTCCCAGGTGCTTCATATTCGCATTTAAATCTGAGAGGCACTGGTATTTTAAAATATGGGATAACAATGAAGGAAGCAGAGGAGTAACATGATAGGTCGGCATTTTCAATTACTCTGCCAGCTGGATGAAAGGAGGGATTTGGGGGGCATAAGAAAGATGAATGAGAACACACACCACTGAAACATTATAAAATCACAGTCACCCAGGTTACCTACTAGGTGGGATGATTTTCTCCAGCAATGCTCAGCTATATGAGGACCTGAGCAAAAAAAGAGATGGCAGATGGTTACACTCATCCAGGGCCCCAGGGCTGGGGTTTTCCTAAATGAGTAGACCAGAGAGGTTAAGATAGAAGAGGGCAACGGGAAGGAACAATGGGAAAGTAGAAGACTTAATGAACTGAAGGTTTTAATGAGGTCAAAGACTTGTTTCTGTGGTGCCCTTGAACAAGTAAGCTAGAAGGAAAAAGGTTGTCATCCGAAAACAGGATGTCTAAATGTGTGGATTTGGAGATTGTGCACTTTCTGAAGATGATAAGGCTCAAGATGTCCAAGATGACCTTGGGAGTGTGTAGCTGGGCCGAGTGAAAACGTTCACAGTTGATGGGGAAACAAATGAACCGAAGAGCCATGGTGTAGATGCTGGAGTTGCTGAGGACGGTGAACGGAATTGGGTAGAGAGGCAAATGGTTAACCAGTAGCTGAAATGCTCAACATGTGAGGGAGAAGTTGGTAGATGACAGCAAGCAGGGGAAGAAGAGGAGGGAGATAAACACAGGTGGTATAAACCTCAAAGGAATGAGGCTTTTCTCAAAGAAAGGGGAAGTAATGGTGTGAAAGCAAGTATAGATAGTGAAGAGGACCTCAAATTCTTCCCTATTCTGAGAGGGTCAATTTCCAGGCATGGGAGGGTGAGTAGGTTAGATGAGGGGATGAGCAGAACCATATGGGAACAAAACCGTGGAAAATACTGACATTTAGGGAGCAGGCAGAGAGAAATAAAGAAGATTGGTCAGAGAGGTGATGAAACCAGAGAAAAACAGTTTCAAGGTGAATGAAATCAGCAGTTAGGGTTGAAAAATGTCCACCAAATTCGGCACTCAGTGGCTTAAGTGAAGATATTTCTGTAGAGCTGTTTAGGGTAGAAGCCAGACTGCCCTGGGTTATGGACATTTAAATAATTGTGTGATATGGTAAGTAGTGAGAATGGAATTAGTAATATAGATTACTATTTTTCTGCTTCATTTTAAAATAGAGTAATTCCTGTTTCTATCCATTGGAGGTTCTACTTGTATAAAGAAACTTATAAACTCTATTTTTTCTTGGTCAAGGTATTTTTTTTAAAAGAATTTTACTTACTTATTTTTAGAGACGGGGGAAGGTGGGAGAAAGAGAGGGAAGAGAAACACTGATATAAGAGAAAAACATTATATGCAATCTGACCAGGACCAAATCCAGAACCCAGGAATGTGCTCTGACCAGGAATTGAACCAACAACCTTTTGCTTTGCAGAACAATGCCCAACCAACTGAGCCACATTATTCAGGGCTTGGTTAGGGTAGTTTTATTTTTGATTCATTCAGTCCTTCAGCAAATATTGAAATATGGTACCATGAAGAAACAAAGGTAAGGAAAGGTAAAATAACTTGTCCAGAGTCATACAGCTTTAAATTGTGGAAATAGAATTTGAATACAGACACTACACTGCAACCATTAAATTAGCAAGTTGCCAGCTTTTGGATGGCCCCTAAAGCCATAAAAATGAATGAGATTACCAATGGAGTACTGAGAAAGAGGACTAAGGCCTGAGACATGGGGCACCTTGACATTAACAGTGTGAGGATAATGAGGTATCAGCTGAAGAAGCTGATAGACTGCAGTATCCTGGAAGCCAAGTTTAAGGAGATGGGAGTCACCAACTTTGTCAAAAGCTGAGCGGTCACTAGCAACATGAAGGTTACTGGTACCCTTGGCAAGTGTAGCTTTGATGAAGTGGTAGGAGTGAGAGTCTGATTGGAGTGGGCTCAACAGAGAGTGGAAAGAGAGAAATGCAGTTGTGGCACATCTGCATGTTGATGAGAAAGCTCTCTCAGAAAAGGGACATCCTAAAGTAGGCCAAAGGGACAGAATGCAGTGCATAACTGGAAGGCTTAGCTTCTCCTAAGAGTATGGAGAGTTCACTTAAAACAGGAAAAAGCAGAGCATTTGGACAGTTGCAGAGAGGAAGTTAAATGAGGCAGTGGGAGCTTGGAAGTTCTATTCTAATTGTTTTTATTTTTTCTCTTACTGATATAGGAGGAAAGATCAGCTAAGAGTCAGACTTGAGGAAAAGGTAGGAAATAGCCAGCTAGGAGAGTAGCAGAGGGAATAGATGAGGGGAAAAAAGAAGCATGATTGTCAGGCTTACTTCAGTTCACTTTTATAAAACCATTCAAACCATACCTTTTAAAATATATTTTATTGATTATACCATTACAGTTGCCCCATTTCCCCCCTTCATTCCCCGATTATCATTAATAGAAATGTGGTGACGGCAGAGAGAAAAACTATGTTTCAGTAGCATACCTTTGTGGATATCAGATCCTATTGCTGTTCACTGTTTTTGAGGTTTTGTTATCTACCTGCAAACTGGCTTGGACCCTAAATTCTTCTAGTTTCCTCCAATACCTGGCTATGACTCTCCAAATTAATGCTTGCAATTTTCTCCCACCCTTTTTACTTGGAATCACCAACAATAAAAGCTGCTTTTCCTGAAGCTCTGTGAACTGAAGCTAGACAATGTGATATAAACTTCAGAGAAATCACCATAACGGCTCAAAATGGACAACCAACTGGACTGTTATTGTGTGGGCTACTCGGATAGTTCACTGAAATATCTGATGATACCACCAGAGACATTTAAAACTGCAAACCAGGAAAATCTGTCGGAGTGCCACAGCCTGTCCTCACTCCATCTGAAGATGCTCAACATCTAAAAATCTTCTAGACAAACTGCCCTCTGGATTAAAAAACTGAGTTTAAAGTTTGGTCTATTATCCTTTGTTTTTCTTTTGTTTCCATAGAAATGAGTCTTATGAAATACACAGTTGCTCACACCATTCAGACACTACTTGTAATACTGCATCCTGAATTGAGACACAACTGGGTAACTGGAATGATCTAGACCCAGGACTAAGAAACTGATTTGGTGAGATGGAGCAATCTACCAACTCAGCTTCTGGAATGTAAAACTTCTTAGGGAAGCTTCAAAGGCAAGGAATAAAGAGTAGAAAAATATGCCGCCCCTCAAATCTGGCTCTGGCTCTTAACCCTTCATTGGGGTTATGCTGGAAACAGCAGCTGTAAGAGATCCTTTGAGGACAGAATAGAAGTTAACCTTCTGTGAGGGAAATTTACATTTATGAGGAAAATCTCCATTTCTAAGGGTGGTTCCCTTCCTGTATCAGAAAGAGAAGGATAAGTCTACATTAGAAGAACCTTATCAATGGAGAAAGCACTTACTTAAATCTGCCAAACAAACCTTTACTCTTGTTTGCTGCTTTTCCTGCTAATCTCCCCACAATTTCGCCCTCTCCATGCCTTTCTTTTGTCATTAGGTGCAGATGGCATTTAAATTGACGTCTTAGACAACCTTGGGGAATTACTTACTACTCCCTGGGTATTTCCCAAGCATACAAAAGGGATTCATGTTAAACTTCTGAGTTTTGTTGTTGTTCTTGTTTTTTTTGCAAAGCAATGGGCAGGAAAGAAGGTGGTTCACTATTTCTCCCAATTTCTATCCCAAGGATCAGGCACCACATTTTAGAGAGTAAAAAGTTCTCCTTAAAAAAAAATTGGTGCACTTATTTTTCCACAGTAGCCATAGGACATTTTATGTTTTATTTATTTAATGGTTTGTCTCTGAACACCAGAGTGTCTGCTCCATGAGGGCAGAGAGTTTATTTAGGTAAAGGAAAAGAGCCTCTTACACAGGTCCCCTAGTATGTTTCTTTCCTTCCTTCTTCTCTTTTCTTCCTACAAATATTTATAAGGCACTTAGTATGTACTGGGTACTGTTGTAACCACTGGAGATATAGTAGGAAATAAAACGTGGACCTTACCTGCTAGTGGTGAGAGACAAACCATTAAAGAAAACGCAAATTTACATTAACAATGGCATATTATTAAGTAAAAGAAAATAATCTGTAAACGATTCTAACTATAAGGTATTCTGGAAAAGGTAAAACTATGAAAAAGATCAGTGGTTTTCAAGGGCTCAGAGAGAAGGAGGGAGGGATGAACAAGAGAAGCACAGAGCATTTTTAAGGCAGTAAAAGCAATTGGTATGATAATTTTATGATAGGTATATGTCATTACACATTTGTCAAAACCCATAGAAGTACAACTAAAGAGTGAACTCTAATGTAAAGGATAGACTTTAGTTAACAATAATGTATCAATACTGGCTCATCAATTGTAATGAATGTACTACACTAATGCTAGGTGTTCATAATAGGGAAAGCTAGGGTGGAATTCTGTACTTGCCGTTCATTTTTCTGTATATCTGAAACTGCTAAAAAAGGTCTTAGTTAAAGAGATCACACACACATAAAGAAGAACAGGAATTATAATGTGTGTATTGGAGGTACAGTAGGTTGCTTTGGGGCTCATGAGCCTGGGTGATGCGGGGGTGGCCTAAAGCATCCTAAGCTTATTTGGGTGGCAGAGCCATACACTGAGGTAAATGGTAAAATGATATGACTGATGACAGCCTCAATGCAGAGAAGCAATGAGGCTGTGGGATGGTGGAAGCTCTCTGGGTTTTTTAAAATCCTGCTAATGGTGATGAGGATGCCTGTGTGGGAGACAGTCCTATTTTTGGCAAAAGGCTTTATGTGTTGCCACAATCTGCAAAACGTATTGAGATTTCTGGCTTATAAAATTGGAGAACACAGAAACCCCTGTACTATACTCCTTCCTTTTTCCAAGTGGTAACCAGTGCTTAAATCTGTTCTTAGTTTTATATTTGAGATTTAAATATTCTTTATGGAAGAGTCACTGTTCCTACCATGAAAAAAGGTTATGAAGTCCTGAACATTTTGAAGTCTTTTATAACTATAGAAAGGCAAAAGTGTCCAGGAGCCATCTTCACATTTCTTCATGAACTGGTCAAAGAGGAGTCTCATGTCCTTGCTCCAGCTGGGTTTGGGGAGAGAAGGGTCCTTATGAATGACTGTCTCAAAAACAAATGATCTCTAAAAGACAAAGAGAAGAAAAGTAAGAGTAATTGGAGGTACATCCTATGCCATAACATATTCTCCTATTTTTGAAGACTATTGTACTGCTTTTCCTTTTCCCAGAAGCTTGATTTTGGAGAAGCAAACTTCAAGGATTATCTGGTCCAATTTCCTTGGGAAAAACAGGACACAGAGAGAGCGAAATGATTTGCTCAGTGTCACCTGACTAGCTATTGGCAGAGACAGCATTAAGCCCAGGTCCGTAAACTCCCTCTTTTTTTCCCAAACCTTAATCAAGCACAGTTGAGCCAGGTACTGGAGATTAAGAGAGACGATGGATAGACATTCTCCACCATGTAAAAAGTGGGGTATGTTACTAGTGGGGTATGCACAAGAATCGAGAGCAAAGGGGAGAGGTATTCATCTCAGATTGTAGCTCGGGATGGGGTTCTCTGACCTGAATCTTTTTTTTTTTAACTTTTTTTATTGATTATGCCATTACATTTGCTCTATTCCCCCCTCCCTTCCCCTCCACCCTGCATACCCCTCCCCCACCATTTCCCCCTTTAGTTCATGAACACGTGTCTCAAATTCTTTAGATTCTGTATTTCCCCCTGCTATTCTTACCCTCCCCCTATCTATTTTCTATCTACTGTCTATGCTACTTATTTTCTGTACCTTCTCCCCCCTTCCCCTCCTCCCACTCCCCTGTTGCTAACCCTCCATGAGATCTTCATTTCTATGGTTCACTCCTGATCTAGCTGTCCTCTTAGTTTGCTTTTGTTTTAGGTGTGGTTGTTAATAACTGTGAGTTTGCTGTCCTTTCACTGTTCATCTTTTTTATCTTCTTTTTCTTAGGTAAGTCCCTTTAACATTTCATATAATAAGGGCTTGGTGATGATGAACTCCTTGAATCTGGTCTTATCTGAGAAGCACTTTATCTGTCCTTCCATTCTAAATGAAAACTTTGCTGGGTAGAGCAATCTTGGTTGTAGATCTTTGGTTTTCATGACTTGGAATACCTCTTTCCAGCCCCTTCTTGCCTGTAAGGTCTCTTTTGAGAAATCCGCTGACAGTCTGATGGGAACTCCTTTGTAGGTGACTGTCCCCTTAGCTCTTGCTGCTTCTAGGATACTCTCCTTCATTTTAATCTTGGCTAATGTAATGCTGATGTGCCTTGGTGTGTTCCTTCTTGGGTCCAACTTCTTTGGGACTCTCTGAGCTTCCTGGATTTCCTGGAAGTCTATTTCCTTTGCCAGCTTGGGGAAATTCTCCTTTATTATTTGTCCAAATAAGTTTTCCACTGGTGGCTGTGCCCTTTCCCCTTCTGGTACCCCTATAATTCGGATGTTGGAATGTTTAAAGATGTCCTGGAGGTTCCTAAGCTTCTCCTCATTTTTCTGAATTCTTATTTCTTCATTCTTTTCTGTTTGATCATTTTTTTCTTCCTTCTGGTCCACTTGCTTGGTTTGAGTCCCAATTTTCTTTCCATTTCTATTGGTTTCCTTTGTATTACCATTCATTTCAATTAGTTTAGCTTCCATATGTTTCTCTAATTTGTGGCTATAATCAACCAGTTCTGTAAGGATCCTGATAACCAGTGTTTTGAACTGTGCATCTGAAAGACTGGCTATTTCTTCATCGCTTAGATCTATCGGTTCTGGGGCTCTGAGTTGTCCTAGAGCCATTTTTGGTCTATTCGTGCTGTTAAGTAAGCGGAGCAAAGCCTTAGTTGTTTACCAGGACGGGGAGACCCAGGTCGCTGGTTTGTGACGCTGTGTGTGGGGGCGTGGTCAGAGAGGGAGCAATGGCGGTCCTCTCCGCTAGCCCAGCCCGTCCAGTCACACCACACGCCTTGGGCTTGTTTATCCGATCGGAATTGTGCGAGGCTGCTGCCCCGCGCAGGCTTCCCTTCTCACTGGTTTCTCCGCACGTAAATGCGCGACCGACCGACCCGCCGCGCCTCTTCCCTGTGCGCTCCCATAGCTAGCTCGCTCACGATCAGCACTTTCGGCTGCTTGCGCGCTCACTGTGCACCACCCGGGAATTTTTTCTTGCTAACCTGTTCCGCTGCTGGCTTCGCTCCTCCTACCGGTCCAGCTGAGTATCTAGTTGTCCTTTGGACTCCGTATTGTCGATTTTCCATGTGGCTTGGTTGTGACTGCTGTTAAAAATAGTTGTTCTTAGATTTGGTTGTGCACACAGGCAAGGTGGTTCCTCCACCTACGTCTCCATCTTGGCGGAAGTCCCTCTGACCTGAATCTTGATGAGACAAGCAGAAATTGGGCAGCTAGAAAGAGTATTTTAGGCAAAGAAACAGTGTGCAGAAGCATGGAGGCATGAACCAATTTTGAAAGCCATATTATAGTTCTCTGAAATTAAATAGTAATTATTATCCCCATTTTACAGATGATGAAACTAAGGTCTTCAAGAAGCTTAGTGTTGTTTTGGTGCAGAGGGAGGAACAGATAGCTAGAGATGCAGGCAAGGGCCTGTGAGAAGCCTTCACAGTAAGCTATCTGGTTTGAATTGTGTCTGTAGTACTCTGAAGAATTTTAGACAAGGAGAGACATGATCAGGTCTGGCCATGATATAAAAGATAGTAGGAGTGACCAAGATTGGATTGGAGGGCCATATTCTGAGACTACTGGGATAGCCCAGGTAAAAAACTACAAGTGCACAAAGCAGAACTAGATGACTATTTAAATAAAAAGAGTGAGGGAAGAAGAAAAACACAGGAGCCAATCCCAGGTTTCTGAAATGTCCAACAGACTGGGTGACAGAACCAATTACTGAGAAAGAATATAAAGAGGAAGAGGAGGTCAGGGAAACAAATGCTTGGTCACAGTAACAACAGCTTCTACCCATGAAATTTCTTTGGCACTGAGCACTGCTACCACTACCATGGCCAGGCAACAAGGGGAATGAATGGTGCAAGGGCCCTGAAGCAGCAGGACGAAGGGAATACCCAAAGGCACCACAAAGGAAAATTGGTCCTTTTGAATTCTTCAGAAATTTTGGGATCTCACTGATCATAGAAGCTATCAACTTTTAAAAAATATATATTTTATTAATTATGCCATTATGGTTGTTCTATTTCCCCCCTTCATTCCCCTCCACCCTGCACACCCCTCCCCCACTATTCCCCCCCTTTAGTTTATGACCACATGTCTCAAATTCTTTAGATTCTATATTCCCCATATTATTCTTGCCCTCCCCCCTATCTATTTTCTACCTACCATCTATGCTACTTATTTTCTGTGCCTTCTCCCCACTTCTTCTTCCACTCCCCTGTTGCTAACCCTCCATGTGATCTTCATTTCTATGGTTCTGCTCCTGATCTAGCTGTCCTCTTAGTTTGCTTTTGTTTTAGGTGTGGTTAATAACTGTGAGTTTGCTGTCCTTTCACTGTTCATCTCTTTTTATCTTCTTTTTCTTAGGTAAGTCCCTTTAACATTTCATATAATAAGGGCTTGGTGATGATGAACTCCTTGAATTTGATCTTATCTGAGAAGCACTTTATCTGTTCTTCCATTCTAAATGAAAGCTTTGGTGGATAGAGAAATCTTGGATGTAGGTCTTTGGATTTCATGACTTGGAATACTCCTTTCCAGTCCCTTCTTGCCTGTAAGGTCTCTTTTGAGAAATCCGCTGACAGTCTGATGGGGACTCCTTTGTAGGTGACTGTCCCCTTCTGTCTTGCTGCTTCTAGGATTCTCTCCTTCATTTTAATCTTGGCTAATGTAATGATGATGTGCCTTGGTGTGTTCCTTCTTGGATCCACCTTCTTTGGGACTCTCTGAGCTTCCTGGATTTCCTGGAAGTCTATTTCCTTTGCCATATTGGGGAAGTTCTCCTTTATTATTTGTTCAAATAAGTTTTCCACTGGTGGCTGTTCCTTTTCCCCTTCTGGTACCCCTATAATATATTGAATGTTGGAATGTTTAAAGATGTCCTGGAGGTTCCTAAGCCTCTCCTCATTTTTTGAATTCTTATTTCTTCATTCTTTTCTGTTTGGTCATTTTTTCCTCCTTCTGGTCCACTCCTTTGATTTGAGTCCCAGTTTCCTTCCCATTACTATTGATTTCCTGTGTATTTCCATTCATTTCAATTAGTTTAGCCTTCATATGTTCCTCTAATTTGTGACTAAAATCAACCAGTTCTGTGAGCATCTTGATGACCGGTGTTTTGAACTGTGCATCTGAAAGTTTGGCTATTTCTTCATCACTTAGATTTATTGGCTCTGGGGCTCTGAGTTGTTCTTGAGCATGTTTTGATCTGTGTGTGCCTGTTAGGTATGAGGAGTGGAGCCTTAGTTATTCACCAGGGAGGGGCCACCCAGTTCGCTAGTTTGTGATGCTGTATGTGGGGGTGGGGTCAGAGAGGGACAATGGTGGTTCCCTCTGCCGCTTAGTGCCGCTAGGGCCTGCGTGGTCCGTCTCATCGCTCGCTCCTTCACCGGTTTATCCGCGCCCAAATGTGTGACCGTGATCAGCCCTCAGTGGGTCCGCCCGCTTCTCCACACCTGTGATCCGCCCACGGTTGCTGGCGCACCTGGGTCGCACTCCCATGTCAGTCTGGTGGATCTCTTCTGTCTGATCTCACTCTGCTGCTGGCTCTGCCCCTCTTACCAGTTTGGCTGAAGGGTTCGTTGTTGTCAGACTTCTGTGTAATTCAATTTTCTGTGGTTTGGCTGTGTTTTTGTTGCTAAAACTTTATTGTTTTTAAAGTTAGTTGTGCGAGAAGGCGCAGTGCTTCCACCTACGCCTCCATCTTGGTGGAAGTCCAGAAGCTATCAACTTTGTAGTGTTCTACTTCCAGCCACCCTTAGCAATTCATTCAGATTCAAGGTACCTACAACACTTGGAATGTAGCCTGAAATCATAACATGGAGGCATGTTTACTGTGATGGATTACCAGCTATCCAGACTTCTGTTGACCCTGGAATGGCTACAATCCTGGCCCAATGGTAATTTTAGAGAGCCTGTCTCAGGAACTCTATGGGCCTAGAAACTTCCTGGCTGAACAAAAGGAAGTCTTAACTTCACAAGGAAAAATGAACAGGGCAGAGAACAGGCCACTTCCTATAGCTCAGGAATTGTATCTTTGTTTGTTCCTTATGGTTTTGTATTGGCTCATCCCTTCAGAACTCAGCTCAGAAAATTTAGAAGAGAAACAACAACAAAACCCACCCATTATCTCTCCATCTTAATACACCAATAATAAAATTTTGACATATTTCCTCCAAGTTTTTTGAAGCATAAATTTTCTTACTTTTAAAATCTAAGAAATAAAATTTTTTGCTTCATCACTTAAAATTACTTAGTGTTCTCTTTTTTATGTTCTTCATCTCAATTATGACCATTTCCAACATTAGAAAAATAGTCCTTTAACTTATGTACTATATTTATTTAGCCATGTAGTTGGACATTTAAGTTGTTTTCCATCTTTTGCTGCTTTAAATAAAAATGTTCATTACAACATTTGAATATAGCTTTTTCTCTATCTTAGATTATTTCCTTAGAGTCCAGTTTAATTTTTCAGCTTTTAAAGTACATGATTTCTGGAAGTGACTTAACAGACACAACTAGTCACAAAATAGTAATGTATCAACCAATCCTGGTCAAATGAGAGGTAGGCTTTGAAGTCATGAGTCTGGGTCATCTCATCCATGGGTCTCATCTTAAATAGACAATTCTAGGATTGATCAGTTTTAGTGTCATTTATGGACCACTGCAACAGAAATAATTTAAGATTTTTAGGAATTAGAATGACTCCCTTGACTATGGACTCTCTTACCTGATTTTAACTTTGAAAGTCTGGTATTTAGCTAAATGTAGCAAACTTTTTTTAGCTCTACTATGTGCCCTGGTTCTGTGCCAGGAATAGGTAACACATAAAAAAAGAAGACTTAGGGCCTTCCTTCAAGTGCTTGTAGGCTTGAGTGTGAAAAATGCTAAAACAGAAGTAGATATAGACACAGAGTGACTTTCAGGAAAAACTTCAAAACGAGGAGTGATTTCTAAAGGATACTATATTTTGCCATGTATAATGTACACTTTTTGCCCAAATTTTTTGAGGGAAAAATAAGGGTGCACATTATACAAGGTAGTCCTAATTCTGTACCTATATATATGTTTTTAATTCTTTTATTTATGCTTATGTATTAAAAGTAACTCTAGTAAGCAATAATGATATCTGTATGCTAAATAACACCCTGGAATACTATAATCAGTTTTGTTTCTAATATAAATAAATTAAAAATTAAATTAAAAAATTAAAACAAAAGTTTTTTCCTGAAAGTTTGGGCCAAAAACATGGGTGTGCACTATACATGGGAGCACATTATACACAGCAAAATATGGTAAAAGTTCACTATGGAGAGAATGGTATGGTTGCTCCGAGCTGAGACATAGAAAGATGAAATAGTCAAATGACGTGTTGGGGAACTGCTAGGATTTCAGTCTCAGGAAGCGAGTAAGGTGCAAAGAGAACAGCAGCCAGATGCAGCCAGATGTGGATGGCAAAGTAGAAGGAGCATCACACTGCAGAGCCTGTCTAGACTTAATCAAGGGCTTAGATTTCATTTTTCTAGGTCAATGTTTCCAAAGGTCAATACAAAAGGTAATTTTAGATAGCACAAGGGTAAAATATATATATTTTAAAATGCATATTATAAAAGGACATAAATAACATATCACACTTGTGATTTCACAAATTTATTGCTTAGGATGAAACTAATTAAAGAAAGGGAGTTTTTAAAGGATCATGAAGGTGGGACTTGAGTGATAAAATACTTTTTTCCCGTTATGGGGAGACTTAAAGAGTTTTAAGCAAATCACTAACATAAACTTGTAATTGCAGAACCAGCTCAAAATGATCCTATCATATTTAATGAGATATTGAATTGCTTTACTGAGACAAAGACCAAAATGCAGGTCATGCAACCGAAGCATGGACAGAGAAAACTATGACCTCCAGCTATACCTGGAACCAAAATTTTGCTCTGCATCTTGCCACGGAACCAAAGAGCCAGGATATAACCAAAACTTGGAACGCTTGGAACCCTTCTAGAAACAAAGGGTCCACTGTCCAGGAAGATCCAGTGTTGATGTCCCACTATCATAAATGGACAAGTTTCAAGACCCTCCAATTAAAACTTGT